TCCCTGCGGAGCAAGGAGCCTGATGTGGGACTCGATCCCAGGATGCTGGGATCATGACCTGAGCCAAAGGCAGCTGCTCAACTGACTGAGCCACCCAGGCATCCCCTAAATATATATTTTAAATCTGGCATTTTATCAAGAATATGGTGCAGAATTATAAGTACATTATATATATATATATATATATATATATATATAGCTTATTTTTTTCATTTACCTATTTTTTCCACTTACCTATTTTTTTTAATTATTTATTTATTATTTAATAGACAGAGATCACAAGTAGACAGAGGAAGGGAAGCAGGCTCCCCTCTGAGCAGAGAGCCAGATGCGGGGCTCGATCCCAGCACCCTGGGATCATGACCTGAGCTGAAGGCAGAGGCTTCAACCCACTGAGCCACCCAGGCACCCCTCCACTTACCTATTTTAAGACAAGTTCTAGTTGGTTAAAAAATTAGAATTTTCAGAGTATCAAGTTAAAGATACATAAATGCAAAATATTTAATATTAGCAGCTGACTACTCAATATTTTCTTTTTCTTCTTTATATTACAGGGAGTTTTTTCTGTGGTCACATTCTCAGTAAGGCAAAGCCATTGAGTTGAAGATCTGTTAAAATTAGAATGATTAAGTGGCAGGTATTGAGGTTGGAGGGGGAGTGTGTCATGTGCCACCTGTGCAGATAGAAAAACAAAGTAACATGGTTTGATATTTCTGGAACGTTTAGGTGCTACATACTCTTTATCCAGTACATTCAAGGACCTTGTTGAAACAGAAAGAAACATAAGGAAGTAGTATTCTTGTTTATGAATTCTGTGACAATGCAATGTACAAATACCATAAGCTTATTTTATTTTTAAAAAGTCTATTAATCAAATTTGGGTTGAATACATCTAGCTTGCTTTATTTCTAACTTGCAAACTTTCCTCCAGGGCAGCTACAGAAAACCTGAACAGGATTCTAGCTTGTGAGGGTAGAATTTGGGATTGAGTTCTGGGAAGGAAGGAGATATCTTACCAAAAGTTGTTTGGATATATATACAGTTGAAAGGATGAGAAGAGATATCTGAGAGTCAGGTTTAGGAAAACCAAATGCCAACAGTAGGAAGAAATTGAATCTACTAGGAACAAGGGTGCTTATTTCAAATTGTTTTGAATAGTGTTTGGGTGGTATCAGCTCAACTTGATAGTAGGAAGATGCATGGTCATGTTGGGTTGGCCAAAAATATGAGATTAGAGTGGAACTCAACTTCTCCAAACCTGCGTTCTTCTTTCTCTATGTTGACCATTTTATTCTTCCTTAAGAGGATCTCAGCAAGAGATAACAGAACACAAAGAGGCAAAACAACTACACCAGCACCTGCACCAAAAAAAAAAAAAAAAACCAACAACAACAACAAAACATAAAAACACAGAAGACATTGGTTAAGCATCTGAGTCTTGGTTTAGGCTTAGGTCATAATCTCATGATTGTGAGATTGAGCCCCTCATTGGACTCTGTGCTCAGCAGGGCATCTGCTTGAGGTTCTCTCTCCCTGCCCCTCCTGCTAATGCATGCTCTCTTTCTCTCTCTCTCCATCTCTCACACACACACACAAATAAATGAATAAATCTTTTTTTTTAAAAGTGTGTTTTGAGAATTAAGCTCTTATTCATCCATGATACCTTTGCCTCATTAACATGGACAATTGAAATTTGATTTTCCTCAACCAGTTTTATTTTTTCACAGTAGAAAAGGCCATCTTATACCTCACCTACTTTCAGTAGTTGTTATTCCTTACTGAGTTTACTGCTCTCGACTTTCTGACAAGTTCCAAAATAATGACCTATGCTGTGTATTGTTAAATGTTTGGTCAGACACGTAGATACAGATAGATGAGTATGTGTTGCACAAAGACAGTTAAGCATTATTTAATCAATGTTTGTTTGATCTGTGTAAAACAAGTATAAATGTAAACTGCAACCCATCTGTTTCATCATTCATGTGAAGCCAATCTCATTTTTAAAACTTGATTTCTTATGTAATTGCCCCAGAATGACAGAGGATGATCAGTTGAGAAGAAAAACCTTTTGGACTTGCAAGATAAAGGATAGTTATGTTTAAGTGTGTTTCACATGTTGGGCTTCCTCGTTTTTCAGTGGCCTTCAGGATAGGTAGCATCATGCCTTGGTAATTACCAGCTGTTAATCATCAGCTGGGCTTTGAAATCACACAGACCTGGGTTTTAGGGTGAATGTATGAGTCTAGCTGTGTGAGCAAATTACTTAACCACCAAATCACACAATGCCTGCCAGAGAGAAGACCCACAGTAAGATTTATTGAGTTAATCTTTCTTTACTTCAATTTTCTTGTGTTGGAAAATAACAATACATACCTCATAACATTTGTGAAAATTAAAGAGGATACTGCATGACCCAGCAGCTACTATAATTATCCTGTTACTCAGAGGTCTTCTCATGGGTCATCCTTTAAGCCTAAACATATTAACACATGTGACATAAAACTCATGTTTCCATGACTGGTTTTTAAACTCTTCAATGAAAGTATCAAATCAAGCATTCAGAAGGCTGGGGATATGTGGCAAGAGTGGAAATGGACAAGAGTTAACAGTGTCTGTGTTAAGAGATGCAATTTCATTAGTCTAATTAAATGCATGCCACTTTACACATCCATGAGTGATCTTAATCTGAAGAACAAGGTCATCAAAGGAAGGAATATCTTCCACCAAAGTGCTGTACATCAGTGAGCCTAGGAGCTCTTGGGATATTTTACAGAAGAATGTTTAAGAAGCTTATGTACTCAGCAGTGCTCCTCGGTGTAAAGTGGAGTATCACTGGTAGTTGTAATTTCAGGATCACATACTTTACTATTAAACCATATGATAATGAGTGCTAAAGCATTAGTTTTAGTGCACTATACCTTGCAGTTTCCACAGTCTGTTGTTTAACTCCCATGTTACATGGAAGAATTACTCCACAATTTCTCTTTATGAACTCTTCTCGACAACATTTATTCATCATTTCAATTCATTTAAGGAAATCTGTTGAACCATAATTTATTGAGCCTTCTTTGTAGATGCAAAGATAACTAAAGGTGTATAAGTAGGACTGTGGCTAAGGACTTTAGAATCTAAGCTGTAGGTCACTTCAAGCCAGTGGAAGTTCTTAAGCAGGAACTGAACCTGTCCAGAGCTGAGTTTCAGGACTGTTACTTTGGTATGAAGAGTGCATTAGAGTGGAGTTCAAATGGAGTGTTCAAGCAGACATCAGATAACTGAAGGATTGGATTGAGGGAGTGGCAGTAAGCTGGTAGATTTGGGTCCGATTTAAGAAAATTTTAAGGTAAGACTGGCTCACCAAATAAAGCTGCTTTGTATGGAGAAGGTTCAAGGTTGACTTAAGGCTTCCACCCAGTCACCTGCATGTTTCAGGTCACCAGACACTTGGAAAGAAGTCCACTCCACAGGGGAGACAATGAGCTTTCCTGGAAGAACAAACTAGAAAGACCCCTAATTTTATTATTCTTTAGACTCTGAAGCATGGATAATTATTTTGCTGAATATTGTTCAATGATGACTACTTATATATAGCTTACCATAGTAAATTAGAGACTGCAGTCTATCCTGCTGAGAATTTTAGTATGTTTGGAGGCTATTCATGGAGGTTAATAGGTTGACTCTTTACACTTGTGAGTTTTACTATCCCTATTAAACACAAAATATACACGTCTTTAATATTGTAACAGCTGTTGGGTATGTTTTACTTTCCAGTTCTATGTATACACATTCAAGCATGGTAAATGCCTAGGATCAAAAACTACTGCTAAAAATTCTATTAATGTAACATAGTGTCTTTACTTTTTTAAAGAATTTTACTTGTATATAAACCCAATTTATCATTATTTCTGAAAACTTGACTTTAATCATTTCAAATCATGTTTATGTAATTACTGAACTCATGTTTCCATATACCATGAAATTATGTCTTTAAAAAGTGTCAGTGTCCTATGATCAAAGAAAAGATATTTTGATTTCCATAAAATTGCAGGAAATTAAGAAACCCCTCAGAGTTTTGTAATCAAATCCGGAATTCAGTCTCAAAATAATGGTTCTGCTTTACCTATAAAATTGCATATATTATTTTGTATCTCTGCAATATTTATTTTAGGTTATTGAACAATAGTTTGAATGAAGGTATCAAGAAAAGTCATTAAAAATCAGGAAAAATTAAATAAATAAAATCTTTAAAAAAATCAGGAAAAACAAGTTTAAAATAGAGAGTAAAAAGAAAGAAATTTTGTAAACGTAGCATATAACAATAAATAGGAAATAAATAGAAAAACAAGTAAATCCTATCTGCACTGGTTCATAAATTGATATTTGAAGATGATTATTAGATGTAACCAACTTCCCTTCTTTACCATTTTTCTTAACTATTTGAATTGTACAAATTACCTTGTGATACTGGTCATAGTGTGTTATGGAGAAACAGGCACAATTTTAAGTTGCCCTCAAGTTGTAAACTGTAAATAAAGAAAGAATAGCAAAGCCTGTGCCCAGTGAAGCCAGTGAATGACCAGTAAATTTGAAGACTGAGGTTAGGTCCTGACAGGAAAGAGTAGGGAGAATAATCAAGGTAAAATAATGTTCACAGAACCAGAAGGAATATTGAACTAGAAAGCTTGTAAACTATAGCTGCAGAGAAGGAAATGGAAAAGTAAAACAATTTTAAAAACCCTGCCTTTCCAATATTCACCGAACATCTATATTGATTTTTTTTTTCATTTGAATCAATGTTGGTGACTATCACTGTTTTTTACTATGATTAATCATTTCATGTTTTGCTGGTTATAGTAGTGTTCAGCTTCATAGCTAGGGTCATCTTTGATGAAGTGTGGCTTCAGACTTTTCTTTTTAAATCATGTTACTTACTTGTGATAAATGCCTATAATCGGTGTTATCAAGTATTGATTTTGTATGTGTGTGCTGTTTTTCTTTTAAAGTCAATTGACCCTGGCCAGCAGTTCACATGGGAACATTCAAACTTGGAAGTAAACAAACCAAAGAATAGATATGCAAATGTAATCGCATATGATCATTCCCGGGTTCTCCTATCAGCAATAGAAGGTAAGGAAATTCAGACATTGTTTATACTTTTATTTTCATGAGTTTAAGGGTTTGCATGAAAATACAGTTCTAGCTAGGTTTTTCGCTATCTATAGAAATAGTTAATTAAGATTTAGGTATCAGGGGCACCTGGGTGGCTCAGTGGGTTAAAGCCTCTGCGTTCGGCTCAGGTCATGATCTCAGGGTCCTGGAATCAAGCCCTGCATTGGGCTCTCTACTCAGCAGGGAGCCTGCTTCCTCCTCTCTCTCTCTGCCTGCCTCTCTGCCTACTTGTGATCTCTGTCTGTCAAATAAATAAATAAAATATTTTTTAAAAAAAAGATTCAGGTATCATTTGTTCTCACATTTTCTTTCTCATATAAATATACTATAAATGAGCACACGAAATCCCCAATACTATATTACACAGAAGCATCTCTCATTACATTCTTGGCTTGGCTCTAGGTGAAAGATTTCATAATGTAGTTGATGCTTATGGAGGGGAAGAAAATCAAGGTTGTCCATTTTACTGATGGTTGCTGACGGTTATAAATAACTGGTGATTATCAGAATATAATCATTGACTGTTATTTTAAAATGAGGGTAAGGGGACCTGTTTATAAATAAACCTGGATAGCCAGCAGGGACAGTCTAAAGGTTAGGAGTTGATGGTGTGGTGATTAATTAAAATTAAGCATATTGGAAATGTCTGGTACAGCTAATTTGTAGACTGCTTGGTAATCTGTCTCTCACAGTTGTAGCAAGGTGTGCATTCCAGAGGGAATGGCTGCTTCTAAAAGCTGAGGATTACACTTCTAATACACCTAGCTGCTTCTAAGGGTTCACGAGGAGAGTATTTTCCATTCATCCCCTTCCAGCAATAAATCCCTTCACATGGCATATTAAAATCAATTAGGGGCTCATGTTGAACACTCAGCATTTTGTTAGTTTCTTTTGGCAATGGTAGCACATTTCTGTCCTTAGAAAAGAGTTTACAATGTCACTTAAATCCTTTCTTCTGTCATAATAGCTAACCTGGACCACCAACTACCACATACCACATCATTCTCACTGGCATCCTTTAGAAAAGCTCTGTGGCCTGAATTCATACTTAAAAGTTCACCACTTACCCTCTTCCAGATGTTTTATTAAACATTAAATAATACCAGTTTCAGACCTAGTCCTTCTTAGAACCTGGCAGTTCAAACATCATCTTCAGTTGTTCAAGTATCTTTCACTTTTTCTGCTTCCCAAATCTATGGGAATCTATGATTCTATGATAGATTTTATAGATGCCTACGTAACTTTTTCTCATAACTCTGACCAGGCCCTACAAGTCCTACCTTCTTCGTTTAGTACCCAAAATTAATGTGAAAGTGAGACACTGCTTAAAGACCTCCCCAGTAATCACTTAAGGCAACCAATACATTTATTTCCAGTTTTGGGGGAGGAACTATCTTTCAGCATTTGAACAAGGTCATACCTGTACCCTCCCCTTTCTTCAAAATGGTATTATGTGGCATAGATATATTTTGTAATGTTCTCACAATCAATTTTACATTTGGAAAATGTTACAGTTCCTTTTTGAGGCTACTGAAGATACTAGGAGTTCAAGAGTTAACCTTTTTCCATATGGGAAAAAATTGATCAGGTTTATCAAAATTTTATCAATGCTGGTTCTTCAAGTAGGATGGTGTCACACAGGTAATTGCTTCAAGTCCTGTTTGAGAACTGTAATTGGTATATGTGGAGGATTAGCATATAGCATTTACATTTTATCTTTACATCCCACTTTAAAACGTAAAAAACAAAAAACAAAACCAGCAATTTCTTGTCTCATGTCTCTTAAATCAACTCCATAGTTAATAAGAAACTAAACCAAGTCACAAGTGGAAGAGAGACATCTTTTTTCCATTAGTGAAATAGGTAAACTATAAAAATTAAATGAATGTAAATTGAGAACCTATTTGGCATGATCTTGGCTGGAGAACTTGTCAGTCTGCCTTTGCTATATTGTAGCATTGTTTCCATTTGGAATGAGGTCATTCAGTATTACTACATGCCTGTCCTTTTGCCCACTTTATCATTATTTTCCTTAACCTGCTATTTTCTACCGTCTTAACAGTAAAGTATGTCAAAGGACAAAGAATATTCCTCCTTGTCCCTTATGTCCCTTATTATGATAGATGGAAATGATGTACATTTCATTCCTATGCTATTTTTACAGTACAAAAGTAAAAGCACTTGAATCAGACTAAAACCTGCCTTTTTATAGCTCTATGCTCACAAATATACCCTAAATCTAGAGCTGACCTAGAAACCAAAGTCTTTCAATTTTAAGTCTTATGCAAAAGGTTAGAAGCATTTAATTGAAGTTTATGGGGCTATATAGAGAGCTTTAATCTAGATTACAACCACGAACAGCGTTTTATCTTAGACTAAGCCCTACTCAGCAGATATTTAAGGGGGTAAATGATCATCCTATATCTTAAGCTTGGAAAAGGAATGCTGGCAACAGGAATAGTAACCACAGAACCTCTAACGGGGGCTTCTTGCATAAAGGGAGCTTTAATAACATGGAGCCCGATTTTTCAAGAGGATTTAAATGTTAAGAGACTTTATGCACAATTTAGAAAATTTAACATGGTTGTTTCAGGTTCCACCGGTAGTGATGACTTAAAAGACTTCAGTGGAAGGTTTTAGTTTGGACATTTCTGCTGCTGTTCTCTCAGTGGTGCTGGGCCCTCTTCATGTTTACTTTGCGGAGTGGCCTGGCAGATAATAAAGGAAAACTGGAAGTTGCCACAGTGATTCGTATTATCTTTATCTTTTTTTCCTAGAGCAAAACCTTTATGCTACTTCCACTGAGCAATGGCAGGGGAAATAAACTAAAGAATGGGGAATTGTGTGTCAGCATGAGTGTGCTTATTGAATTCTGTGAAAATAGTGATATTTCATGACACATTTCCAAATCACAGTCATTTTATTTATGCTGGGGAAAATGTAGAATAAATTCAAGAGAGTTCCAACTACAAGAATGCTTACAATTGTGAATTATAGAGCAAGAGGTATGGAAACACAATTAAATTTTTGAACAGTCCAGTTACTGTTGGCAACCCCTCCATGTTTAAGCTGTCCTTAAGAGACATCAGTAATTCCTGAGGAAGAGAGGTGATAGGATTTATTTTTCTGGTTTAAGTAAATATTGTCAAAAACTAAATGGAAACTAATACTTATACATAAATAAAATAATATATCATTTGTTTAATCTTATAGAATCCAAAGTTTCTCATTAGTTTTACTAAAGTAGGAAAAAAGAAATGGATAAGCCAAAAGATGAGAAAAGCAAGGAAATCTGGGTTTGGGTCACAGCTCTGTCACTTAACCTCATCTTCTCTGAGTGTCAAGTCCTCAGCTGAAAACTTTATTTTTGTTTTAATTTTTTAATTTGAGTGTAGTTGACATACAGTGTTGTACTAGTTTTAAGTATACAACATAAATCTTATGCAACTGATTCAATTTCTCTGTAAGTTATGCTGAGCTCCCCACAAGTGTAGCCTCTATCTCTCCCCATACAATGCTATTAAAATATCACTGACCATATTCCCTTTGCTGTGTCCTTTATTCCCATGACTTATTTATCCCATAACTGGAAACTTGTATCTCCCACTCCCCTTCACCCATTTTGCCCATCCTCTTAACCCCCCTTCCCTTTGGAAACCACCAGTTTGTTCTCTGTGTTTATAGGTCTGATTCTACTTCTTTTTTTTTTTTTAAGATTTTATTTATTTATCTGATAGACAGAGATCACAAGTAGTCAGAGAGGCAGACAGAGAGAGAAGAGGAAGCAGGTTCCCCACTGAGCAGAGAGCCCGATGTGAGGCTCGATCCCAGGACCCTGAGACCATGACCTGAGCCGAAGGCAGAGGCTTTAACCCACTGAGCCACCCAGGCGCCCCTGATTCTACTTCTTATTTGTTTATTCTTTAAATTCCACATATGAGTGGAATCTCTTTTATATTTGACTTCTACAAATTAACTGTATATAGCTATCTCATCAATTATATCATTTACTGTATACATTACATTATTTTACTATGTGTGTGTGTGTGTGTGTGTGTGTGTGTATACACAGTTGTATTATAGATAAGTAATAGAGCTCAAGTTGGAAGTGAGCTCTTCTGATTCCACTGCTCATGCTTACATGGGCCCACCTCATTCCCACTGCTTTCCTACTGATAGACAATGTGTCTCTGACTAAGTCATAGTTTGAATCCAAATGTCCACATTTATAATTTTGCCTAAAAATCCATTTTATCATTGGGCTAACCTACAGATAATACAAAACTGTATTTTAGTATTTAATTTCCTATTTTATGGCATAACTAACCTGAAGCAATTACACAATATGGGAAATCATCAGTGATCCAAATACATTAGAGCCCTGTAGTTGCAGAAGTAAGGTCAAATGCATCTATCTCTAACTGATTCCAAAGGTGATCTACTTACCTTGGTATCTTTGTATGTATCTTCAACTCCTTATAAACCCAGGAATATCAATTAGTAGCAGAGTATTTATTGTAATGTCTTATAACTAGTATAACTTCAATCTAATTATTTCAGTCCTAGATTTAAAAAAAAAAAAAAAAGGTATTTCCCCCTAAAATGTAATTACTGTTCATTGCTGCCAGTATTCTATGGCTATTAGTAGGAACATAATTAACATTTCACTTTAAAAGCCATATTTAAATGGAATTCTTAAAACATTGTTGACCAGGACTAAAACCCAACCCTTTTTTACTAAAAAATAAAACTAAACTTTTTATGTCAACAAGAAAGTCAAGAAGTTAGAATAGATATAATTATCTGGGTACCTATGGTGTGTTGGGTATCATGTCATAGATTTTATCATATATGAATTCATGGACGGATTTTATCTATAATGTTCAGAATGACCTCAAAATCTAGTACTGTTAAACTTTTAAAATTCAAGTGACTTGTTTTTAATTAGTAGCTAGTAG